CTGCACCCGCTGGTGGGGGGCTGCTCCAAGTTCTGTGCAAAGTGGCCGTGTGAGGTGTCCAAAGCTGATGCTCTGCTGAGGGAGGGTCGCTCCAGGTTCTGTGCGACGTGGCCGTGTGAGGTGTCGTAAGCTGGTGCGGCCTGTGTGTGGAGTTAGAAACATGGGCTCTGGGCTTGTACAATCAGTGTTCCCCGTCTGGGAGGGAGCAATGGGCCGGGACAGCCCGACATAGGACGTGCCCCAGAGACTCCTAAGCGGGAGCCTGCCCCATAGCTGGTGAGTGATGTGTGTTCAGTGACAGCCTCACCCTCAACCTTTTCCTACTGTAATTAATAAACCTTTCCATGGTCGATGCTAAAGGCCTGGCCCAGCGAGCTCTCTGGGTGGAATCCAAGCTATAAATTGCCCTGGGACTGGGGCTGGTCCCTTGGGACTGGGAGAACCTCTTCAGAGTTGGTGACATGGGTTATAACCTCTCCCCTGTGTAAGGGGGGGCTGAGTGGGGCACAGGGAGCACTGGGGTGTCTGAGGGGTCTTGCTTGGGTAGCTTCCAGCTGGCCATATTGGCAGCTGATGTGCCTGGTGTGGCTGGTTTGGTGCCTTATGGGGAAGGACCCCAGTCATGGGCTGTAAGTAGCCTGGTTTTGAGCAATTCACCCTGAAAAGACCCTCACCGCGGTGCCCAGACTGACCTGGTGTATTAGTGGGTATTGGCAGGATCCACAGACTCTGGTCAGTGGAGCTTTGGGTCAGGCCCCGCACGGTTCTGAATTTGGTTTTGGGACTGAGAGTTTGGTTGGTTCAAAGAGCAGGCGCAACGAGCCCGTTACAGCCTGAGGGTCTTGACAGAGACGCTGGAAGATTTGTGCTCTGAGAAAGGAGTCGCCTTGGGGAAGGAAGCGTCTAACCAAGAGCCGAGACCCTTGTTAGCGGCCAGAGACGCTGCAGCAGGAGGGTCCCGGGAGGAGTTCACAACTGAAATGTAAACAAGCAGTGGAAGAGTTGCGTCTGCTGGCGGAGAAGAGAAGCGGCTGACACGCGGCAGGAGGCAGCACGGACGGCGAGACTAGAGAGAAGCTGCCGGCAGAGAGCGAAGGCCGGAGCAGGACGGCTGCATTAGCAGAGCCAGAGGAGCAGAGGAGGGAACTG